TTTTTTTTTTTTTTTTTTTTTTTTTTTTTTTTTTTTTTTTTTTTTTTTTTTTTTTTTTTTTTTTTTTTTTTTATGAATTATAGCAAGTTCTTCAATGGGTTTTTAAGGAAACTAATGAAAAGGATTCCATAAAGAAGAAGGAAACGAGTTGCGGTAAGAGAAAAAGGATGCACAGTACCTATTTGATAAAATGTCTAAGTGACTATGATTCCTTTTTTTGCCAGATAAAGGAAGTTCTAGATCAAAGGAGATAGTGGTTTCTGTTTCTAATCATTGTGGGGGCTCTCAAAGATCAAAGGGATTTGAAGGAAGGAGATTTGATCTAAAGAGATTGAAGTCATTTGCTTTGTTGTGTAGGAAGGATATTGCCAAGTCCTGCTTTTATAGTACCATTAATATTAAGAGGCCTAGAACGACTCAGGGCGGCTTTGATAATATGCACCAGTATTGGATCCATAAGATGAAAAAAGAAGATATTGGTCAAAAGGTAGATTCTTGTTCTGTTCATGCAGGCACCAAGGTGTTGCCGATAACGGATGCCACTCTTGTAGAACAATGCGGTAGTAAGGGTGTAAAGAAAGTTGTGGCCAATGGGGAGAGTAAAACCAAAGCGAGATCAAGAGTGAAGGAACTTTTGAGATGGGCTATGGCTTCTAGATCAGAAAAAGGAGGGAAGTTCATCACTGGCAAGGTGATTTTTTTTTACTTCTTAATTGCCTTTCCCATGTTAGACATCAATATTTCTATCAAGTAGATATTGTTTTCTTTGGTTTTTCGTTTCGGACTTCTTCTTAAGATTTTTAAAACGCGTCTATTAGGGCGAGTTTTTCAGACCCTTATAAAAAATGTTTGGTTCTTTTCTTCAATCGATGTGAGATCTCACAATTCACCCCCAATCGATGTGAGATCTCCAATCCACCTCCTTCGGGACCCAGCACTCGTGTTGGCACACCGCCTCGTGTCCACCCCTCTTGGGGCCAGTGTCCCCGCTAACACTCCCTTTCCCAATTAATGTGGGACCCCTAATCTACCCCTTCGGGGCCCAGCGTTCGTGATGGCACACTGCCTCGTGTCCACCCCCTTTGGGGCTCAGCTTTTTTGTTGGCATGTCGCTCGGTATTTGACTCTGATACCATTTGTAACGGCCCAAGGCCACTACTAGTAGATATTGTCCTCTTTCGACTTTCCCTTCAAAGTTTTTAAAACATGTCTACTCGGAAGAGGTTTCTACATCCTTATAAAGAATATTTCATTCTCCTCCTTAGTCGATGTGAGATCTCACATATCCCTTGAGGTCTAAGGATTAGTTTGGCTTATGGAAAAAATATTTTATTCTCCTCCTCAATCGATGTGAGATTGCACACATCCTTGGGGTCTAAGGATTAATTTGGCTTAGGAATCCTGGAATGTAAATTGGATCAACACCAATCAATTCGATGTGGGATCCCTAATCCACCTCTTTCGGGGTTCAACGTTCGTGCTGACACACCATTTCATGTCCACCTCCTTTGGGGCTCAACCTCTTTGCTAGCACATCGCTCAGTGTCGGGCTCCAATACCATTTGTAACGGCCCAAGACTATTACTAACAGATATTGTCATTTTTGGGCTTTTCCTTTCCGGCTTCCCCTCAAGGTTTTTAAAACGCGTCTGATAAATAGTAGTTTCACACCCTTATAAAGAATGTTTCGTTCTCCTCCCCAACCGATGTGGGATCTCATATATCCTCCAATGATTAGTTTGGCTTATAGAACTCGGAATGTAAATTGTATCAACATCAATCAACTTAGGACCTCACTAAGTGAATGGTTTATTAAAAAGTCACCGAATTTTATGGAACCGAGCATTTGGAAAATCGTTCCAAACAGGCTCGAAAGCACAATATGCAATAATTCGTTGAGTAACTGGCTTAATATTATACCAACTTTTCCAGGTTTCACGAATGCAAAAGCGGGGAACTCTTAATACAAGCTTGGACGATGATCGAGCGAGTAACGACTCCCCCAAGATCAGTTTCAGATGGGAAGCCGAAAGCTGCTCCTCCATTTCCTCAGCCTACACGTCGGTTTCGGGGGCGTCCTCCTTCAAAAACTGTTCCATTACACTGAATTCCACGGCCATTCATGAAATGAATCACTATTATCCAAGAAAAGGAAGCTGGATCACTACAGATTCTGAATGTAAGATTCTAATCCCCATTTTTCTTACAAAACAAAAGACATCAGGAACTGACTTCACTTTCCTTCCATGCCTTCAATGAACAGTTGTTGTGTTAGAGCTATGAAGGAGAAGGAAGACAGATGATCTGTAATGGCTTCATATACTGTTTGATCTGCCTGCAATATAAGAGCTGTACATTCTATGCAAAACCACAGGATTTTGTATGTAAAAAGGCTTCATATAGCTATGTAAAACACGTATCTGAAATAACATTGAGTGTAGCTCAAACCATCATCTAACAAAGTCTTTGGTGTAAGAGGTTAACTGAGCTTTATGTCTACGTTCCCTTCTAGAAAGGCCGAGTTTTTTTTCGGGTTTTTGCAGGTCGATATCGAGTTCAAAATGACATTTTAGGATGAGTATCTCTCGGTTTGACAAGTTTTTTAGAAACGTCTTCAACAACTAAATCGAGTTTCTTGTTTTGAGTTCTTTCAAGAATAAATATAAAACATACTTTCAATTAACAGGACAGAGGTTCAAACCATCGCTTTGTGTATTGTTGTACACAAAAAACTCTTTCCACTAAAAGGTTCAACTGATAGGCTCTAAGCTAGTCAGCTATATTCTTGACCTAGATCAAGATTTGATAGAGTTCCGACGAACAGGCTCAACGCTTGTACGCCACTAGAGATGGTTGATCTAGGGCTTGATCGACTCCTGGATCTTTTTACGAATTCAAATTCATAATTTAATTATAAAAATATGTTTTGAAATTTAAATTAGGGATTTTCAAGTGGATCGAGAGCTCGACACTACCCAACCCAAAACATAAAGACTAGGTTGGGTTAGATTTGTTTCGGTTTGGGTTTGTTTGAATCTTTGGAAAATAAAAAAATTGAGTAGTTATTGGGTTGACATTTTTACTCAGGTCAACTCCTCCAAAGCCGAAAACATGGTTACGGCTCAATCCCATCCTACATTATGTTTAAGATTATTATAAAAATTAATAATATTTGAATTTCGTAATCGATGTTAGTGATGCAGTGTGACTCGTGAATGTTTGATATTTAAAATTTAAAAATAATTAAAAAAAATCGTGGATGATTATTTTTATTTTTATTTTTATTTTTGGACGCTTTTGGAAAATTGTGAACTTTATTAAACCCATTTGGTATTTAGTTTAAAAGACAAGTCGAAAAATATAAGTTACTGAGGTCTTAGGCTCTTAGTCTCCTTTCCCCTTCCTCTTTCCTTCAGCTCAGAGTCACACTCTCAAACACTCACTGTCAAGCTTTCTCCTCTTTCCCGTTAGGGTTTCTGTCTCCTTCTTCGTCTTCCTCTTCCCTCTTTCGCTTCCCGCCTTGCAGAAGAACCTCCATGGATAGGTACCAGAAGGTGGAGAAGCCTAAACCTGAATCGCCGCTAAACAAAAATGAAATCCGCATCACAAGTCAAGGCGCTATTCGAAACTACATCACTTATGCTTCTACTCTACTTCAGGTATCATTTCACTGTTTTTGTTATTGTTTACATCAGCTATTGTATCTCATTTCATTTTTTATTTTGGTGTATTCCTCTTAATCTTTCTGTTTATACGTTGCGTCTGTTGTTTTTTTAAAAAAATGTTGAATCTATCTTATGACGTTAGGTTTGTGGATGCATTGGACATATTAAAAGATTGTCTTGGTTTTGGTTATTTTTTCTTAATGCTAGCCGACATTTATTGATTTGGTACATTTTCTGGTATATTGATTTCGTTTCTTCTACTTGCGAATTTTGAGGAATAGTTGCTCGCTGGCTGATACTCTGCTGTATATGCATTGTATGTGGAAGCGTCTGTGAGCATAATGCACGAGCTATGATACTTCTTAACATGCGATAGCTCGTGAAATGTAATCTGTTCTGTTGATTATCTACATTCCTTGTAGTTTTTTCTTCTAGCCTATCGTGAATTCTAGTTATATCGATATTTTTTCACTTTACCATATGAAAAGAATAAAGATACGGTTGAATTTATGCTTTATAGTTTATCTTGTATTCTCAGATCGAGTAATTACGCTAATGCAGTGATCATGTGGAACTTGGTGTTTCTGTATTATGTTGACGTGATGTTTGGCTCAGGTTTCTACTATTTGTACACATTTTTTAATATATAAATTTACCATCAAGATACAGCTACGTACTTCTCTTTCTTATAAAAAGAATCAAGTGCACTAGAGTTTATGGTTTACAATGTACTGCTAGATCTATTCATTATGCTAATACAATGATCATGGCCAAATTGTCATTTCCTTATTCTTGGCTCACGGGTTTTTTCAACTTGTTCGTACTATTTTTTTATTTGAAGAAGATAATTATTGATGTTATTCATGGGATCAAGTTTTTGTTATCTATTCAATTAGTAGATCGATTATTTCCTAATTTCTAATCATGCTGGCTAACTTGAGCATAGCTCAACTAGTCATTCGTTTGGAGAGAATGAATTCCAGATCTTGGCTTTCGAAGCCCTCTGAGGGCATTTGCAGGAGTTCTTTTTTTAGGATTCTTTGTACACCTTCTCCCCTTCAAGGATCCACTGTGTTTTTTTAGGATTCTTTTTTTTTTTTTATCTGGAAAGTTTTGCATGGGAGAGTGTATACTGAAGACTGTATCCAAAGGCTTTCCTCCATGGTGTTGTGGCCTCAATAGTGTGTCATTTGTAGAAGACGGGGTGAGGAACTTGACCATTTACTTTATTTGACCCTTGGAATTTTTCTTGCTCGTAATCGAGGTTGTTGTTCGATATTTGAGGAGGTGTTCTTGAATCCTCCTTGTCATGAAAAGAAAGGGTTCTTTGGCAGTCTTAGTTTTTGTTCTGTTGTAGGGCATTTGGCTTGAGACTTGAGAGAAATAGTAGAATTTTTCGTGGAGTGGAGTGATTTGGGGAGAACTTTTGGGTTACGATTAGGCTTAATGTCTCCCAGTAGGTCTCTCTTAATACGGTTTTTCATAATTATCCACTTAGCATTATTCTTTTCGATTGGAGTCCCTTGTGGGCTTGTTTTTTGTTCGCCCTTGTATATATATCCCTATAATGAAAGCTTGGTTTCTTATAAAAAAAGGTAAAAAAATTAACTATTCATTTGTGTATTGGATTACTAAACTAGTGGCTGGGATTGTCATCTGGGCTAACACCCTCTAGTGCCAAGCCTATTTATGCAAACCAAATTTAGAGAATGATTCAAACCAGTTTTTCAACTTTTGGTTTTCAAACAAATAGAAATATAACAGATAACTATCATTTTCAATAAAAAAAAAATTCTTAAAACAAACGAGAGAGACAGCCCACTTCTCAAGAGAACATTAAATCGATTAAGAGAGGAAGAGAGCTTGGGAGAGATAGTGCAAACATCCTCCCTTTTCAGGAGAGAGAGGAAGAGGAGAATGCTGATTTGAGTGATGAGAGAGGCTTTGTATAGTGTTTGACAGCAAGACCAAGTCCACCATCAAGCATGCTGAGTTGGAGTTAGAGGGTAAAAAGTTCCCAGTGGTATGGCTTTCGAGTGTCGGTTTAGTATAAAATGTGGATTTTTTATGTTAGAAAATCGTGGTTCCTAATAGCCTATTTATAAATTCTCACTCTCTCTCTCTAATAAAAAGGTTTCCCCCCCTTGTTTATTCATGTTTCTAAGCATGTGCTTACTGTCGGCTGAGAATGAATCTGTTCTATTTTGGTTTAATATATCACGTTTTCACTTTTAATAGGACAAACGTGTTAGAGAGATAGTGTTGAAAGCCATGGGGCAGGCAATCAGTAAAACAGTTTCCATTGCAGAAATTTTAAAGGTTCGAGTCCTTCACATTCTGCAACTGTGCATGTGTAACTTATTTTATAATTAACATGCCAGTTTCATTCTGAAACAGAAGAGAACTCCACAATTGCATCAAGAAACTTCCATTAGCTCAGTAAGCATAATTGATGTATGGGAGCCTATTGAAGAAGGTCTTGTACCGTAAGTTTTAATCTCTAAAAATCTCTGTTAATTGCCTGATGAAGTCCTATGCAATTACTGCTGGTTGGTTTCTTTATGCTCATAGGCATGACTTAGCGTTGTTTGGATTGGTACTCTTTATTTTGCAATTGCAGATTTGCTTATTATTATTGCTGTGGGCATGTCGCTTTAGTATGCTCTTCTGCAGATATTTAAGTAATAGCGTCTGACATATGATGCAGTGTGGAGATGACTCGATACGTCTCAATGATATCAATTACCCTGTCAAATCGAGAGCTAAATAAAGATTCTCCTGGGTAAGATAATTTGGAAACTGTAGGATGTGAAAGTCTAATCTGTGCTGCTTTCCAGTTTTTACACTCAAGTTTCTTATTACGAATATTTTGAGATGAAAAGTGTTACTATTTGTAGGTATCAAGCTCCACAATTTGTGGAGCAGCCAAAGCAACAATATAAGCAGCAGCAACAACAACAGCCCAGACAATCTCGTCCTTATTACAATGCTGTTAACGAAGGTGATCCTTCTTTCTGAAAAATAAAATATACTGTTACAGCGTGAAGATGTAGAGGATGTGATATCTTCGACCCTATTTTATTGTGCAGCAACACAAATGCATAAATAAAATACCTGAAAACAGAATCAGGAAAATTAAGAATTCTTGGGATTTTGTTACATCATTCCAATTAGTAAAGAAACCAAGTGCTCTATTACCAGTGAATTGGGGCTTTGGGATGTTAAGGTAGACTAGATGTTAGCTGTGGGTTTGAGATACTGAGTGGGAATCTGAAAGAAAGGAATCACCTGATCAGTGTTTTTGAAAGACCTCCCAGGTGTTATATGTCACAGTTATGCTTGTTCATTGTATGCTTTCTGTGAGTGCATGCCCGTTCCAAATCTTTTACCTTGCTTTCATTGCATATCTTTCATTCTAGCATAGTATATGACTAATTGTTGAATCTTCCAATTCGGGTTATATGCTATCAATGTTGTTGTCTCTTACGGCTTGCTAGAGAATAATTTTTAAAATATTTTTCAAAACTCTCTCTAACCCCATTTATTAAAATTGTTTTCCAAGAATAGGAGGTAGAGGCTAAGAAACAGACAATTTGTGCAAGCGACAATCCAAGTTTAGAGCTAATCCAAGTTTAGAACGGATTGACTTACTGAAGGGCGAGAGTAAATGCTGCACAATCACTTCGTAAGTCCAAAAGAAGCGTGATTGTGACACTAGGCACAGTTCTAGTGCCTCACCTTTTCAAGAAGGCATATGCCTTGTATGATGCCCTAAGGCCCGATCCCGTGGGCATTAGGGCTTTTTCTTTATTTTTTGAAAAAAATAATTAGAGTGTTTTCTTCTCGATCCCTAACTGCAAAAATCGTCGTGTTTAGGTTTTTTTTCCTCCCCATATTCCAAGGTCATGTTTTTTTTTTTGTGCCTTGCGGTTAAGTCCTGAAAAGCTACTGGGTTTTATTGCTCCTAGAGCTTTAAGAAACAGGGCAGTTGATGTTACTCGAGAATAACATAATTTCATAAGATAATCACAAGCCACAAATATTTTCCCCTCAGAGATAGGTAGCACCCAATTAATTCTAATTCATTGGGGAGGTCACAGTTGATGTGTTTGGAAAAACTACAAATAAATTTTAGTGGAGATCATACTATTAACTGTTAGATTATGGTCCTTTCTATAAATTTGGCAGATCCATATGGTCAAAGCCAAGGTCGAGGTCGAGGGAGAGGGCGTGGATGGGGCAGAGGTGGATATGGAAACTACCAAGGGGGATATGGCAACTACCAGGGCGGATATGGCCACTACCAAGGCGGATATGGCCACTATCAAGGTGGATCTGGTGGCTACCAAGGTGGTGGCCCTGGCGGTTACCAAGGCAACTATCAAGGTAGATAAGTTTTCCCTCTTTCAGTTTCGATCATGCTAGATCTTGAGCACGGCCTAATTTTTAGTTTCGATTTTGACACAGATAATGGTGGGTACTCGAATTGGAGTAGAGGCGGTGGGCGAGGCCGAGGTTGGATATATCGTGGTAAGTTTCGTTCTCAAATTTCTCATCTTGTTTAGAATCTAATCTAACTAACTGCCAAATCGCAGATTTTGTTGATGTTCTGTACCACCTAGTTGTTGATTAATCTCTTGGAATGTGATCTGTATTTATAGGATTTCTTAAGAAAACGAGATCAAATGTTTTCGGAGTTTGACCTCTTAACTATTTCTTGGCTTAACCAAAATCTTGAACATGTTGAAAATAATTGTGGGTTGAATTGTTCGAATCAATCGCATTCCTTTCAGGAACTGGCTATGATAGAGGCAGAGGGGGGAGCGGTTACGATCGAGGTCGGGGTCGGATAGACAGACAAACAAGGGACAATGTTGGCAGTAGAAACCAGGTTTAGTTATAAAAAAAAAAGTTGCTATTTTCACTGTTCTCTTTTCTTGAGCTAAAATGCCTTGCCTTTGCCAGTGAGATGCTTTTTATCAGAATTTACTGTTTTTAATAGCGTGGTAATTTCGCTTCTTACGGCGTTGTTGAGCAGTAATTTCTTCTTTTTTGCCTTTGACAACGTGGTAGGCAAGTTTGTTTTTGTTCATGTTTTTTTATTGTTACATTAAAACTTCAAAATGTTAAAAATTCATTACTGAAACGAGAAAAACATAATTTCACATAATTTATAATATTGTTTTTAATCATAGAAATAATTTTGATTTAAACTTATTATCAAATAATAAAAAGTCTATATATATATAATACCTAGGTTAAGGTTTTCAGGGTAGTTTGTTCTCCTCTCTATCCAATATGGGACATTACAATCCCCACCTCCTTCGGGGTCTAATGTTCTCTAATCGATGTGGGATTGCCCCCAAATCTACTCCATTTGGGGCCAGCGTCCTTACTGGCACACCATCTCGTGTCTTACCCCCTTTGGAGAACTGTGAGAAGGCTAACACATCGTCGGATGTTTGGATATGATACCATTATATATATATATATATATATTATAACAATTTTGATTTAAATAAAAATTAGCATATGAATTTTGTTTATGGTCGGATGTCCAGATTCATTGTATTTGTTTATGAAAAAATAAAATTTTCATTTAAAAAAAAATTAAGAAAAAAAAAACAAAACACAAAAGCTTTGTTGGTGACTTGGTGGACTGTTTTCTTAGCATCTTAAAAATTATAATGGGGACAAATTCGTAATTTTCGAGGCTTAATTGATCAATTATTTTCTATGTATGAATTTGACCGTAATAACGGCTATATTCATTCCGTACAGTCACTACTAGGAATAAATAAATAAATAAATGCAAATTTGGGACAAAGTTTTCAATTCTTAAGATATTTTGTTTTCTTTTAACTATATTGTCTTTCTCTCTTATTCATTCCAAGACTTTGTTTAAGAACAAATAATCTTTAATTCTTCTCTAATTAAAAGGTTCATTAATGTTACTACCAAGTTAGAGGATATTAATTTCGTTTATTTAAGATCGAACAAATTTCATATGTACAAGCACTGCTAGTTATACCAACGACGATAATTACAAGTAAATTTGAAATATAATTATTGAAATTCTCGATAATTAGTATTTACGTTAATATCCTTAAGCAACGTGGCTGAAAGTTCAACTGAAGGAAATTGAAGAGAAGAACAAATTTCGCACGGCTAAATAACCCAATATGAAACAAGTGAAGTTATTGAACATATCGAGATATCATCAAAGAAACGATAGAGGTGTTCATACGAACACGACCCAAAAATCCGACCAATCTGGATTACCCAACCTAAACCATAAAAGATGGATTAGATTAGATTCTTTTTCTTTAATTTGAGTTGGGTTGAATTTTTTGAAAATAAAAAAATTCAGGTCCGTTTGCAAGTTGGCTTTTTTTTATTTGTTGGGTCAAACCGAAAATAGAGCTACAACTCAATCCTACACTACTCTTTGTAACCAATGTTAGTGATGCGTTGGATATTTGAGTCAGATCAGATTTTAGTTATTAATATAAGATACGGTGGAAAAGTATGAATTTTTTAAATAATTTTTTTAAAAGGAACAACCTGACAACCCAACTTGAAAATAAAGGGTTCAATCGGGTTGAGTTATGAACTCTATTCAGGTTGCTCGGGTCACCAATCCAATCAACTCAAATTTTAGGGCTGATTCAAAAGATTTTCCAAACCCAACTGGTATACTCCCCGATTAAACCGTCTATTCTTACAAGAACAATGTAGCGGATTGTTAGACTGAACTAACAATCATTAAAATAGTATGGAGACAAAATAATACAACAATAGATAAACGGATCGACATAGTACAAAACACGAGAAAATTCTTATCCATACATCTACGACAGGGTGTGTGTTTACAAGGAATCGACGATCAAGATTCAATCGTACAAGACGTCGTAATCGACATGGCACGGGATGAGAGAGAGAGAGAGAGAGAGAGAGATAAAGGGTTGGTTGAATGTAGACGGAAGAACGACCTTCTTCATTGCTTAGAGGACCTTTTAGCCCTTTTGGGTGTTGTCTTCGTTGTTTGCTTTATAAGGGCTTTCCATTTCCAAAGGAATAAAGCTTTGAAGAAGAAGAAGAAGAAGAAGAGGAGAGAGAATGAGTTTAGAGAGAGAGAAATTAGGAGAGAGAGAGCAAAAGAGCTCAAAAGATGAACTTTTTCATGTCATTCATAAGGTTCCACCTGGTGATACTCCTTATGTTAGAGCAAAATATGCTCAGGTAAATCTCTATCCCTTTGTTTGCTTTCGCTTTGTTCGATAGCTGTCGGGTCGAAAATAATCGAACCATCGACCTTTAAGATTCTAGTAACAATTATGCTCGAGTTTGCTCGAGCTCTCTCTCTCTCTCTCAATTTCAATTTGTTGCTTTGTACTCAGTTCTCCCATGGTTCGATGTAATATAGTTCTATTTCTCTTTCCAACAAAATTTTTCAAACTCGAAAGATTGAAAGTTTTTTTTTGTGGGTCGGGTATAAAATTTGAACTTCTGACCTTTAGGTCGATGACCGTGTTTCTAAATTATAAAATTTTTATACTTTTGAAGAGTAGTGAGATGTTAGAAAAATTCGATGACTCGAAAAACCTGGTCAACCCAACTCAACCCAACCCAGAACTCAACGAGCCCAAAACCGTGGTTCAAATAAGTTGGTTCATGGGTTGAATTTAACGAACCCTAACTCAAATTTATTGTTAATTTTGAAATATAGATTTTGATGACATATATTTATTTTATTTTTTTAAATTTCATAATAATTTATAGTTAATATTTATTTTCTAATCTCTCTAAAAAAAATAAATTTTCATAATTTAGAATATAATTTTTTTAATGCAATTGAGTTACAACATTTAATTAAATATTTAAGAGTAAACTTAAAATTATTTTCATAATTTATAACTCCAAGATTAATGGATACTATTTTGTAGAATATTACAATAAATTAATTAATAATTTAAATATAAATTATTTTTAAAAAATTTATTATTGTTTGTGAATTTGTTCAGTTGATAAAGAAGGATCCAGAGAGTGCAATTTCATTATTTTGGGAAGCAATAAATGCAGGAGACAGAGTTGAAAGTGCTCTAAAAGACATGGCTGTGGTTATGAAGCAAATTGATAGAGCTGAAGAAGCCATTGATATCCTCAAAACCTACCGGTTTCTCTGCTCCAAACACTCCCAAGAATCGCTCGATAACGTTCTTATCGATTTGTTTAAGGTTCGTGTCTATTTCATCTCTAAATTTTAGGTTTCGTTAGCTAAGTTGGTGACTAGAACATCCTGAACCGATCTTAATTTTTCATAATAATCTTAAAAATAGGATAGGGATGGGTTGTAATTCTATTTTGTCGAGTGGACCTGAACTTTTCATTGTTTATAGTTTTTGGTTTTTTAAAAATTCCATCCAACCCAAATCGAAAAAAACATCTTACTCAACTCATTGTTTATAGTTTGGGTTGGGTAGTCCAAGTTAGTCGAGTTGACTTAAACTAAAAAGATGTCAACCCACGAACCGACCTGAGTTTTTTGTTTGAAAATTCGACTCAACCCAAATCTAAAAAAAGAATCTTACTCAACCCAATGCTTAGTTCGGGTTGGGTAGTCCGAGTTAGTCGGGTTGACCTGAACTAAAAAAATGTTAACCTACTAACCGCCCTGAGTTTTTTGGTTTTATGAAAATTCAACCCAACCCAAAAGAAAAAAAAAAAAAAAAAAATAACCCAACTCATTGTTTATGGTTTGGGTTGGTTGGGTTGACATGAACTAAAAAAATGTCAACGTGGGAACCGTCCTGAGTTTTTGATTTTATGAAAATTCGACCCAACCCAAATCGAAAAAAAAAAGTTTAACTCAACTCGATGTTTATGGTTTGGGTTGGGAAGTTCGAGTTAAAGGTTGACCCGAAGCAAACAAATGTCAACTCAACCTAAACTGGAAAAAAAAAAAAAAAAAAAAAAATCAAACCTAACGAAACGTTTATGCTTTAAGTTGCGTAGCCCAAAGTAGTCGGATTCTTAGATCATTTGAACGGTTATCGAGAGTGGAGAATTAGTATTAATTAGTTTGTTAATTAATTATGTTGGATAGAAATGTGGAAGAATAGAAGAACAAATTGAGCTGCTGAAGAGAAAACTAAGAAAGATATATGAAGGAGAAGCTTTTAATGGAAAGCCCACAAGAACAGCTCGTTCTCATGGCAAGAAATTTCAGGTTTCTGTCAAACAAGAAACCTCTAGATTATTGGTAAATCTCTTTCCCTTTTTCTTTTATCCTCTTCCAATTTCACCCCCATAATTAACCATAATTACATAATACGACCGTCTTTTTAACTTTAAATTTTCCTCTCTAATCTAAACTCGAGAAAACGAACAAAAAAAACGTGCATCTATCGTATCTTAAAAATACCCATAACTTTTCAATAATATTGTTTAGTTTTGGATTAAATAAAAAACTTTAATATTTTTGAATTTTCATTAATACCTTTTAACTTTAATGCTATTTTTTAAAATTCAAAAGTATTTTTTGAAACGTGATACTAATGGTAAGAGTTTATTTTAATTAGGGGTATTATTGAAGCTTTAAAAATGGAAATATTTTTATAAATTTAGCCCCAAAAAAGACTAAATTCCCAAAATTTCTAAAATATACCCCAAAAAAAGTGTAAATTACAATTTTCTGACCTAGAAAATGGGCCTGAATTTGTGAACAGGGGAATCTTGGGTGGGCCTACATGCAAAAGCCCAATTTCATGATGGCGGAGGCAGTGTACAAAAAGGCCCAAATTATAGATCCAGACGCCAACAAAGCATGCAATTTGGGCCTTTGTTTGATGAAACAGGGCCGTCTCAATGAGGCCATTTCGGTTCTCCAACAAGTCCAGCAAGGCAACATTCCGGGCTCCGATGAAATCAAAGCCCAAAAACGGGCAGGAGATTTGCTGACCCAAATCAGGTCAAGACAATCGCTGCCCGATTCCATCGAGCTATTGGGCCTCAGTATC